AAACCTAAACCCTAAATCCTACGCCCCGAACCCTAAGCCCTAAAGTTACATGTAGGAAGTGCTCTTGAAGCCCGCAACAGGGCTCCTACAGCCGGCAAATTGAACGGGTTTTAGGAGTTTAGGGTTTAAGGATTTAGGGTTTTAGGGTTTTAGGGTTTAGGGTTTAGGGATTTAGGGTTTAGGGTTTTAGGGTTTTAGGGTTTAGGGCTTTTAAGGGTTTTAGGGTTTTAGGGTTTTAGGGTTTAGGGTTTTAGGGTTTTAGCGTTTTAGGGTTTGGGTTTTGGGGTTTAGGGTTTTAGGGTTTTAGGGTTTTAGGGTTTTAGGGTTTAGGGTTTAGGGTTTAGGTTTTTAGGGTTTTAGGGTTTGGGATCTAGGGTTTAGGGTTTAGATTTAGGTTTTAGGGCTTGGGGTTTGTAAGGCTTAGGGACTAAGGTATAGGGCTTCGAGGGTGCATGTTGTGAAGCCTCAATTGCTGCCCTTTTGCAGCTTTGCGTGGTCCTTCTTTGGGCTCCGCAGCTCAGGAAACCATCTCGAAGTTGCGACAGGCCTGGTTGTTCAGCAATGTTAGGGTTTAGGAATGAGGCTCACTAAGGGTTTGGGGAAAAAGGCTATAGATAAGGGTTGTGAGGGAAATCCATATCCACATTGCATCAGGTGTGCAAAGACTGCGGAAGCTCCACCGCAGCACCCTCTAGGGTTTAGGGCGTAGGTGAGTACCCTTTTGAAAGGTTGCGTGGTAAACCATGCGACCTTTCCAACAAATGAATTGACTTTGGATACCCCTACACCCTAAACCCCAACGGATCTTGCAAGAGTATGCAGGAGTCATATGATAGTCGCAGGCTCTGTCTTTTGGGCATTGGGTTGAGGGTTTAGGGTACCTTCCCATTCCCCAAATAAACCGTACACAACCCGCGCATTCAATGCATTCCATGTTCATTCAGTTTGCATTTGCAGGCGACTCTCCGCCATGGAATTTTTGTAGCTCTAACCAACATGCCCTGTTCAAGGCGAATAGATGCATTGTAAGAAGAGGAAATGGCAGTTACTGTGACAACTCAACCGAAAAATCCTTGAAGCAAAAAGCCTGAAGCCTTACTTGAAGCTCATATGCTTCCCTACACCCCACACCCTAAACCTCCGAATCCTAAACCCTAAAACCCCATACCCTAAACCCTAAACCCCAAAACCCCAAACCCAAAACGCTATCTCCTGGCAGCCTCAGTCTAGGGAGGAATCGTGTCGCACTCCTTCTCCGATATCTGGTGCATCCGGGCAGTGTCTTTTGGGTTACCTCCACTGTCTACTGGTGACACGAAAAAAGAATCCTGCATGGCCCTAGTAGACTAGAGTAAAATATTCTCTTCCCCAATGAGCATAATTCCCAGGGTCCCAAGGCATCCGGTATAGCTAGACTCATGCAGCAGCTCTAGTCTCCACCGTAGGGCTCAAAATCGATTAGTGCTACCGACATTGGGCCTGAAAGTCTTTAAATATCATAGAGATCCTGAAGGCGTGTCTGTAATGCACGAAAACAACAATGTCATAGCTTCAACGAGCACGCGCTCAGAAACAAAGATGTGAATTGACTTTATATGCGCTTTTCTACTACCCCAGAAACCGTTTCTGAACGGGACCCTGTTGCTGGCATAGTAGTAGTACTTCTCGTAATTCTCGAAGCGGTAGGTGTGCACCATCTCGTCGATGCACTCAGGCATCTTGACCATGGTGACCATCATGGAGGTCTCCCGGAGGTCCACCTGAACCCCTTGCTATGAACCCTAAACCTCTGCCACGAACCTAAACCCCAGCCCTGAACCCTGAACCCCGTGAACCCTAAATCTTAACCGAGCTATTGTCAAAACTCCTAGTAACCCCTTGTATATATATACATATATTTATCTATACCCCTATATAACCCATCTTCAAGGAGTTTAGAATGAAATTTGGACATGACGCGTCCTGACAGGTCCCCACGCCTGCATGAGCTCCTCCTGAATCTCTTCAGGGTAGTACTGCGAGTACCTTCGTCGTACGCGGGGGTCCCTATCAGGTATTCAGGCCTCTTATGAGCATGTTTGAGCAACACCCCTTGGGCAGTAGTTGTTGGATGCCACTTTAATCCAGAACTTGCGTGGAGTGCGTCCTCATTCTCGACAACTTCTCATATGAGGGCTATGTTTGGGCTATACTGCGGCGGGCGGAAAGTT